CAAAGCACATCAGCAAGGGAAGGGCCCCAGCACCAGCCCTGCCACCTCAAACCCCAGCATCCAGCCCCAACTCCTATTTCCAACCCAGGCTGCTCCCACCAGTCCAAAACACAGAGAGGGTGCCCCAAAACACCCCCGCAAGGACCCGAGCACAGCCGTACCCGGGCATTGCTGGCCGTCAGCCATGTGGGCTCCACCGCCCGGCGGGTGATGGTGCCCGCGGTCACCACCTGCGGCAGGATGGCTCCGTAATCATCCTCCTCGTTATAGTCGGGGTGCCTGGGACAGAGATGAAGGTGAGCATCATCCTACAAGAGCCCTCCTGGAGCGGCATAGCAGGGATCGTGGTCCCGGCTGGGGCCGTTCCTCCCCGTACCTGGTCACCACGCGAGGCAGCTCCCCTTTCTTCAGCCACACCACCATCTGGGAACTGGGGGAACACACGGCAGGCAAGATGCTGAGCCCCCCGCATCCGCACAACCTCCCCCGGCTGTGATGCAGCCTCTGCCGCCCGCAGGGATGTCACGATTCAGCTGAAGGCGGCCGCTCACCTGATTCGCTTGTGAGCGTTCCTCCAAAACGAGATCATTTTGTTAATCTCGAGGGCTCTGGTACCATGGGTGCCGCCCACGGCGGCTCGCAGGGTGCCATCCTCCATCCGGGGCAGGAAATCCTTGGCAAAAGGGCTTCCCACGTTGTTATCGTTCCCGTCCTTTAGCAGCAAAAGAGATGCCAGGGCTCAGCGTGCCACCGCTCCGTCAATAAAGCTCTGTGCATCCTCCTGTCCCAGCTAGAGAGATGCCTTTCCACCACCCAATCCCACAGGACAAGATCGCAGGGCTCCCAGGAGTGCTGCAGCACCAGGGTGACAGGCAAGGTGACACAGCTGTGCAGCAGGACCAGAGGAGCTGGGACGCGGGGTGGCCAGGAAGCCCCCAGGAAGAGCCCCAGGAGCACCCAACTTGCCTTGTGAGGCAGCTTGAAGAACCAGCACCCAGGGATGTTGACATCGTTGTAGGGACCATTGCCATGGTGGTACGAGGGCTGGCTCCTTGCCTCTACCAGCTCATACAGCTCATCCATCTCCTCCTGCAACCAGTGATGCGAGGTGATGCCGGGAACCCCCTCAGCACGGCAGGAGGGGGAAATTGAGAAAAGAGGGATCGATCCACCACCCCGCCCTGCAGGAAACCCCCTTTACCTGCACCAGGCTCTGGTCTGCTCTGCCCATTTTCTCCTCCACGTCCACCTCCAGCTGGCTCAGCTCCTCCACCTGTGGCACAGAGGGACCG